GTGGGCATGGGAATGGCACTAGGACAGGCATGGGGACAGCCCTGGGATGGGCCCTGGGTGGTACCTGGACTGGCATAAGAGTGGCACTGGGATCAGCACAGGGATGGCACTGGTCGGAGGGGGGGTGGGCAATGGGATCAGCACCAGCGTGGCAGTGGGACAACACTGGGACCCACATGGGGACAGCCCCAGGGCAGAGCCACCGCCGCATCCCCAGGGGTAGCCGTGCCCGTGTCCCCGCAGGGCAGCCTGGAAGATGGCCGGATCATCGACACCTCGCTGAGCCGGGACCCGCTCCAGGTGGAGCTGGGCAAGCGCCAAGTCATCCCCGGTGAGTGGGGAGCCGGGGGGGTTTAACCGGGATCCGTCCAGGCCGAGTGGGCTGTGGGATGCCCCCAGCTAGCCCCACTCACCCCTCTCCCCCCTCTCCTCGCAGGCCTGGAGCAGAGTTTGCTGGACATGTGTGTGGGGTAAGCCAGGCGGTGGGGTGAGGGGGTGGGCAGCGGGCCCCCCCTCAGCATCCCCACCACGGTTTGGTGTGGGTTTGGCCCCACGGGGCACCGGCACTGACAGTCTCTCGCCGTGGCAGGGAGAAGCGGAGAGCTATCATTCCCCCTCACCTGGCCTATGGCAAGCGGGGCTCCCCTCCCACCATCCCAGGTGAGCGCAACCCTCAGGGTCCCCATGGGGTCCCCACCAGCCCCCTGCAGCCCCCACTCAGGCTCTGCCTCCCCCCCACCAGGCGATGCGGTGCTGCGGTTCGAGGTGGAGCTGGTCGGTTTGTCCCGGGCCAGTTACTGGCAGAAGGTGGTGAATGAGGTGCTGCCGCTGCTGTGCCTGGGGCTGGTGCCGGCGCTGCTGGGGCTCATCGGGTACCACCTCTACCGCAAGGCCAGCAGCCCCAAGCTCTCCAAAAAGAAGCTGAAGGAGGAGAAGAGGAACAAAGCCAAAAAGAAATAAAGCCTTTCCCTCGGCAACCATCACTGCTCCATGTTTGCTCTGTCCAGCTCCAGGGGTGGTGGGGGAGAGGACAGCAGCAGGAAGGGGCTGTGTACCCCCCAAGCTTTCTGTCCACTCCTGGTGGGGCCGAGGAGCTGTCAGACCTGAGCAGGAGGTGACAGACCCTTGCCTGCCCTGACAAAGCTCAGTGGGTCCCAGAAATAAGACGCTGGAGCACGTTTTTGGGCACATTTTAGCTCTTTTATGGCAACTCTGCGCAGTCACTGTCCTTGTGGTGTCCCCAGGTGCCAGGCAGGGTGCCCTCATCTGCAAGGAGGGGATTCTCAGCTGGTGCCTGTGGAGCCATGGATGGGGTCTGGGTGGGCGTCCCCTTCCGAGAGGCTGTCAGGGTGTTTGGTGCCCTGATGACCTTGTGCATGGCCCCCCTCAGCACGGCGCAAGTCCGCGGGGATGCAGTTCTTGCGCTCGATGGTGAGGACCGCATTGGGCTCACTCAGCACCTCCCGGCTGACGGAGATCCCTGCCAGGTACTGCCTGAGCAGCTCCCGCAGGTGCTGGTTCCTCTGGCTCAGGGCTGCCCGCTCCCGCTCCAGCGCCTGCTCTTCCAGCTTCACCTTGTTGAACCGCTGCCAGAAGCGCTCCAGCCCCACGTAGTCCTGCATGGCCTGGGCAAGAGAGGCAGGGAGGAGGGTAGGGGGTCCCCAGCCTGCCCACGCACCAGCCGGGATGTCCCAAGGCTGGATCCTGACCCTCGCCCCCCACTGTGGCAGCGTCTGGGACCCCGGTGCTGCCTCCTTACCTGGGCCAGGGGCTCCGTGGGTGTCTCCTCAAGGACTTGCTGAGCTTCTCGCTGATCCCCCTCTGCCAGCGAGGAAGGGTAGAAAGGCAGCACCTTTTCCTCCTCCGTCTCCAGCCTGCGGCACATCTCGGCCAGCCGCAGGATGCGCTGGGCCTGGGAAGGGGGGGTGCAAGTGAGGGCAGGGTGGGAGGGCACGGCAGCACCCC